AGTGGTGCAATGTCAAATGATTCCTTTCCTGTATTTCGAGAACTTATGACAAGCTCATACAACAACCACCATTGTGCAATTAATTTTTAAACTCTCTGAGCGTAAAGCAGAATATGATGTTACTATGGGATGCAAGTTGGGACTTATGTTTATTTTAATAATGCAAAGTAATAATGTCAAAACTGTATTTTAATTCAGTCCAATATTGTAATATCTTGAGCCCAGCACTGAGAGATGTGGTCAATAAAACATTAGAACCACCTTGTTTTTACAGTTCACATTGTGACTAGTCAGTCACATTTGTGTCTAATAATGACGGCTGCATTCTTTTTGTGTGCATCATGTTTAGTGTGCATGTTACTGCACTTACATCAGTCAACACCATTGGTAACATTATCAGGTATACCTGTTGCTTGTCTGCACAGACAAATCAAACAGTGAAGCAAAGAGGCATGGGTAGTTTAATCAGGGCTGCTGCACACTTTTTAAAATCAAATTTCAGTCTTTTTAAGACCTAAACAGAATACAATTTTCCACAGCAGAATAGTCACTCATGCACGTGCAACTGTTTTTCATTCAAATAAAGTGAAATACATGTAGCCCATGTATGAATAATAAATAGTACTGGTGTGACTGTACTTTCTGTGGGCGTGACAATAGAGTTTAGTTAATAGAAAGGACAGCGTGTATTGTTTCATTAACTTCCAGGTCAACAAACAAGCATAATCACAAACATGTTTATGAACATCTGCATTACATGCATCCACTTACCAATTTAGTCGGTCCACTTAACAGAAATGAATAAAGTGTAATGCAGAAGTTCTACAGAAACCCTACCTCATAATAGTTATAATGTTCAGTTTTTGTTGATACTTTTATAGACAGATATTTAAATTTTGTGATTATTTTGCCTTAATTTGCACCTGCCCATCTTACTAACTACTGCTGCTTTTTTCCATTTGAAGAAAATGTGGGAGATGGTGAACATATAAGTTGCTTGAATGCAAGACATAGCATGTAAATCCACAAAAATTAGTAATAGGAAATTATATAGCTAGGTCTATACAGTAATATAGACACATTTGATAAAGTATTCAGACATATCTCATTTTAAAATTTAAGACATCTCATGAAAAATAAAAACTTTTTCAGACCTTAAATTTTTATAATCAAATTTAATACTTTTAAACTGTTTAAGGATCTGCAGGAACCCTGGTAATGTAACTCCACCAACTACAGCATCATAACTAACCACTAGGATTGGACATCATTTGTAAAATATAAAATAAACACTACATAGTTGATGTTTAGAAAAAGATTGTCAAAGTGGATTGTATGGGATAGTACATGGGTGTCAGTGTATATAGTACGTATCAAGTTTGTGATGTATTTGGTCTGCGGTTCATTGTTTTGATAGAACCTAATCAGCAATAGTACATGGGTGAAGTACATAACTTTCCAATACATCAATAATTGCTGACACTAATTTCCCACCTCTTCTGTAGGGATGGAGGATTGAAGCGAGCAAAGGTAAAAGATACATTTAAAGAAGAGCAGCAGAAGCTATACAGTAAAATGCTAGTGGGCACCCAAGAAGACCGCAGTCGCTCCTGAGGGACCTGTGTGGAGGTGGACTGGCTCAGACACCCACTTGGGCACCACTAACAGTCAGCGGGGCTACCTCTCTGTTGGAGCTCCTGGACGGGAAAATTCCCCTTTCTGATGTCAACAATAGTCCATTTGGCTTCCTTAGTCACTGCCTCAGCCTGGCACGCTCAGTTTGCATCGCTTTTATGGGTCATTCTGGGTCTGCTGAGCTTTGTTGGAATAGCTTGACTGAAGCCTTGCTTGCACTAGAAATGAAAAAGATGTGCGCTGAAAAAGAGCATTGTCTTCGGTGGCAGCCTTTTGAGGCAAACTTAAATTATCTATAATTTAGTTCCTGTCTGTTCAATAGTGTCAGCTTTTTAATTTTTATTTTACAATCCTGTTTTTAATCACCCTGTGCTAGTGTTACAGGCCAGCTTATACCTGGGAGTTAGAAAACGGTAATTGTACATAAAAATGAGTTTGTTTAAAAGCTAAAACCTGTCACTGAGTTGGGGTTTTGCATCAGAATTTAGGACACACTGCCAGATTTTGTTACATTTCAGATATTTTTATGGGCTTTTTCCAAAAGAGAGAGAGAAAAAACCCTGTATTTAAGCTTTATGTTTTACATTGATTTGTATCAACATACTGTATATGTGGTCACTGTAGACGTTACCGTGCAGATGAGCTCTTGATATGTTGTCTGTTTTTTTTCCACGGAATGTGTAAATTCTCACATTATGAAGTGGAAAAACTATACCCACATTTACTTCCATGGAGGTGTATGTTTTTGTGCATGTATTCCTTTTCCAACAAATAATACAGCCTAACTGGAGTTCTGGTTTTAGCATTTCTCCTTTAAACTCATATCACAAAAGTAATGATGCTGGATGATGACATCACAAATGGTCTCCTGACTAAAACAGTCATGATGACAGCTACCTGAAACATAGTTGTGCTAATACAGTTCCTGACTGGCATCATAATTTCACTAGCTTTCTGTTTGTGCAGTGACCATCGTGCTTAATTTAAGTGAACTAAAAGCTATTGACCCTCCCATCAATTATCCTTGTCCTACTTGGCAGCCACTTAAAGGAATGTTTGAGGAGGGACAGATTGCAGCTGTTGCTTGGACTCCCTGTTGGGCTGGAGTTGGGGATCACGGTGGAAAGCCTCAGGAGTTTCTCCATGAGGTTTTCATCCCTCTAGTTTACTGTTGTCAGTGAAAGTTATTTAGGTTGCATCACAGATGTTCATCAAAGTAAATGTTAAAAAATATGACAACCTTTGTCTTCAGGGCTTTAATTGTGCTTCTCACTCTGCCGATAATGTTTGTTTTCCTCTGATGCAGGTACAGAGGGTTTCTAACTTGTTCTTACAGAAGCATATGGGAACTATAAGCCTGATAATGTGGCTGCAGGTCAACATGGATATTACATAGGATATATGCAGTTCATAGATGCAATTGATGAAACTGTAGACTACAACACAAACCATTACCTTCAAATTACCTATTTTTTTTTAAAGAAGCTACAAGTATAATATTATGTAATGTGTTATTTTGTGTTTAGAACTTCTTTTTAAGCCTCATCTCAATAGCGTTTTTTAAACTAGAAAAAAAAAGTATTCATGATTTATTAGAATACAATGTTCTTGCTCCAAACAGCACTGCCTTAATTAGCTCTTGCTTTTCTGTGCTATTCTTGGCAGACAAGCCTGTACTCTGGTAACATTTCCTGATTTATTGTCCAGTGAGCACCAAGTTACAATAACACAGTTGGGTGTGAAGGCCAAGAGCTGTCTTTTGAACATACATTCAGCATTTATTCCCCAACTGATTGTGTATGCAGGATCTGGTCTCACTTAGATCTCTGTGAATGTGTACTGTTGATTCTTTTGCTTCACCCAAAACCCAGCTCTCTCCTCTGGAATCAAGTGCCCCAGTCTCCTTTCAGAGGTTACCCCTTAAACTGTTTCCAAACGGTGATGGCAGCATTCCTTTGCATGTCTGCCGCAGTAGTTTCAAATGGATCTGTTGACGTTGGTCAATAAAGTACACCGTGCTCAACGGATTAGTCAGAAGAAAGGGGTTTAGCTAAAAGGTTGGCTGTGTAAACTGCACCATAGCTGAACAGCTCACTAACAGCACTATGGAGAGCCAAATTTAGGCCCCCAGCAATCTTTGTTTTACCCTAATGTGGAGATGGCACCGATCCATCTACTCCAAATACAAGTTTCACAGCTCTGTGGTCCACTGCACTGTAAAATACTGTGGTTACTCTGACATTGTGATGACTGTAAGAGGCAGAGAAAATGACTTAACTGTAGCCTGTGCAAACAAAATTAGATCCACTGATCCTCACCTCTGTTGGTGCAAGACTTTACACCAGAGCAGTACATGGACTGTCGTAATGCAGATAAAGATAGCACAAGTGATTAGTGATGAATCTGAGGTGATGATCATACACATAAGGCAAAGTCACAGATAAAGATGCAATCAGTTATATAATTTTAAGGCTTCCTAGCTTTAAATCAGTTAGGGAGGGGGCAGTTAAAGCAAATGTGAAGTGTCATCAGTAAAACGACTTTCGTTTCAAGTTTCACAGAAAGAAAGTTAGTGATTTCCTGTTGAGAGTACACAGAATGAGTATGTTGCATGGGGGGTATTTTTAGTTGTGCGCTGTGGTATTTCGACATATGATATTATTGTAGTATTGTACTCGACATAGCACATGCATTTAAGTTGTGGTGGCGAAATTATTTTGAGATGAGTTTAAATTTGGAAGCGACGGCCACGATGTTCTCCAGCAGTTACAAAGTAGACATAACAAGGAAGACGAAATGGCAGGCACACAGGAGATGGGCGGAGCACCGGAGTTCATAACACAACAGTCTAACAAGTTACTGCAGTTATTGTGGCGTTTGTAAGGGCAGCCGCAGGTGCGCCGTCCGGACTGGTTTAGTCCGTTAAGAAGTCGCAAGTCCAACTGGGGAGGCGGAAATCCACTCATGTGGGCTACTTAACAAACTCAACGCTCCACGGCTCGACTATGGCTATGAGCGCCACTGCGGCACATGCTGACGACCTGAGACAACAGCCCGCCATCAGCACACGAGTTGGACCAGAAGCAACCCAGTATCACCAGTGAGATGCTGGTGCATTTTGAGCGCCTGTAGTCGCGATTTGGGCACACACATTAAGCCTTTATACGCTGCTGGAGAGTAGCTGTGAGGCCTGGACACCCGTCATTTGGCGACGCTGCGGAGTTTTCTCGGGCTACTGGTGAAGGTGAATCCTTAACATGGAAACGTTCACTGATGTGCTGCTTGTCACCGCAAATGTCGGCTCACTCTTTGACAATGTAAGTACACAGTAAGAGTACAGTTAAAACTACACCAGACTGTAGTGTTGGCTGAGGATTATTCTTAATGCTGTTAGGCCGACAGAGAAATAATTAGTTGGGTGTACCCAATTTCCTCGGTTGCTAGCATACATTTAGGTAAGGACGCGTTAAAGTCTTCACGCGCTTTACGTTACTGTTAATGCTGTGTTGGACGTTACCTTTGACTCTCTGTTTGTAATAGGCCACCACTCTGTAGGTCTACTCGGTCGTGTTTTTGTCAGCTGTCAGTAGCATGTGTTCAGTGTTCAACCTCCGTCATTTAAAAAACAAAAGCCAAGAAGTTGATCTTCTATCACCTGTGGGATGTTCCCGCCTCACGTGACCTGGCTCCATCCCGGGTCGACCCGGTCTGTGACACTGAAGGGTCACCATTGAAAAACTATTATTATCCATCAAACAACAGATTTAGACATATCAACACAACGTTTATATTCGACTCGATGAGACCAAATCCCTCTATATGTTAAGTGTTAAAATAAAAACCTATTATCAATGGATTTGTATTAATATTGAATAAAATAGACTATACATAGTGAATGTAATTAAAATGATGGGGAAATGTGTTTGTGTTTCCGTGACGTGTTTTGGCTATGGCCTCAAAGAGGTTTCCTGGTTAAATAAATGTTTAAAACATTTTAAATAAAAATCACAAAATCTTCCAGTCCACAGATTTTGGTTTAATGCCGGTCCTCACACATTGGCCACAAGCTTTGACTCTATTTACACCACAGGACTTCAGTTTTCATGTCTTATAGTCCCCTAACATTTCATGTCATTCAGTATTTGCTCAGCTGTTCCCCTACATGGGTCTGTCAGGCTCCCCTCACATTTCTTAGGCTATAGAAATGATTAGGATCATCATCACTTTTCACAATTGGCCACTCCACCATGTACAGTAAATGCTTGGTAAAAGTCACAGGTGATTATGTTTGTACAGGGAGGATCTGAATTACTCAGTAGTAAGTTTACAGTATCATTGTTGTACCTCATAGTATTTACAGCTCCAGTGGTGTCACTATATGTATGTTATACTTTATAAGCTGGTCTTATGGCTAGTTTTAGTAAGAGGCAATATAAACTATTTTAAACACTTGGCTAAATGTCCAGTGGCTTTTAGTTTTGGCCGAGTCTGGCTTGACAAAACATTTAGACTTTCCCTGGGGGAGGAGGACTTTCACATTCATGGAAATTTGGCTCGGGTACCATCTTTCCGGTTGCCAGATCCAGATCCAGTGACAACACAATAGATCCTTTTGTGGAAGATATGTAAACAGATTAATATCTTAACCTTTCCTACTTGCTTAGGCCCTCCCATTTCTATAAACAAACACTCCTAAATGTTCACCCAGTACTGGGATAAGAGCAAGTCGTTAAGCACCATTGCAGGATGAATACTGTTGGTTTACTGTGTTCACCAAGTGCCTTGTCAGAGCAGCCAGTAAGACAGTCTCCACCAGTAACATTGCTACAGCACACTATAGCAGTATCCTGGAGACTATTAGGGCTGCCTCCAAATAGTTGAGTCATTTAGTCAAATATATATATATATAAATAAATCCCCACTCAGCCCACTTTGGAGCAGTCTTATTCCTTCCTTCTATCTCGGGTCACATCCAGAGGCCTGGGAGCTTGAGAGTCCTGCACAGTATCTTAGCTGTTCCGAAGACTGCACTCGTCTGGACAGAGATTTCCAGAAGATTATATATGTATATATATGTGTGTGTGTATATGTGAATTTTCTTTTTCAGTCTGCATATTACATTACATGAAAAGGTAGCCCAAGCCAGCAGTTTGTCATCGTCTTCCCCTCATTTTGATGTGCCAATTGACAATTTGCTCAACGCGGTACCCACTTCACCGGTGACACTATCTGACGCATGGATGTACATTAAGGTCAGATCTATAGCAAATTGCACAGTGAGGAGAAAAGGACAACAAAACTCACTAGGACAATCCACATAAAAGTGAGATATGTATTTCATTAGAAGTGTTTTAAAACATTGTGATAATAGTTTACAAGAGAAAGACTGTCAGTGATGTGGCTGGTTTTGCATGGTCTAATGTTATGTCGGTCTGCTTTGTTCACCCATCTCTGTTAAAGTGCAACACACAGCCGTTTACCAACTGTTTCTGTGATGTGCACCCATCTGAACAGGACTAGGAAGCTAACAAAAATGCACAGGGAAACATTTCGATAAGGAATTATAAATAAGAGGAATCATTCACAGTGCAAGCTGGCACACTTCAAACGCACAGTAACAATGTGCGCTGTGGTTAACTGATGAGAGAAGCTTAAACTTGTTGGTAAACTAGGTTATAAACATGTCTCAGAAGAAAAGAATTGGCCTATAAGAGTATTGTTTCAACAGAAAAATTACTGCCTGTTTTGCTGTTCCACCAAATCAGCCCGACATTATACGTCTTTAATTTAAATAGGTCACAATTTAAATCATATGCAGCTGTCTTTTATTAATTTTTAAATGTTCAGAAATATGTTTGTCACTCTTTTGCTTTAAATTCCAAATACCAAGAGTCTTATATTTAGACACTTTTGCTAAAGACGCATTTTAACTAATTTTTCTGAGAATTATCAAGACAGCCTGAAAGATCGAAGGCCTAAGCTAATCACCGCGTTCATAATAGCTAACAGTTTCTTTGGAACAGTGCTGCTGTGTGAAACCTGTCGTAGGACTTGCCTGACACAGAGCTGAAATGTGAATGTCAAAAGTTAATGTTTCAGGTGGAGAGAGCCAAAGGTGTTCATGCCCACTAGATCATACAGTCTGTGTTAGTAGCCAGAATGATGTAAGAGGAGTCCTTGAGGTACAGTGACTGAGCTGCAGCCTCTCCTGTCACACTGCCATGCAAATACACTATGCAAAGCCACTTCTCAGGTGGCATGACTGCACCTAGCTTTGCAGGAGATTGTATATGGCTCTGTGGCTGCACTGCTGTGCAAAATCTGAGGCAGGTGTGTAAGAAATGACATTTACAAATGCCACAGTTAAATTTAAGGGCCAGTCGTCCTGCAAATGGCTACTAAAAAAAGCCAGAGAAGCCAGTTTTAGAACGAGGGATAATTTTCTGTTATGAGAATCTGAAATGTATTAAGCTTATTTAATTTCAGAACAAAATACTTTTATGTAGCATACCATCAGAAATGTTTCATTTCTCATAGTAGTGCTGAGTCATTTTGAAGCAACAGTAGCATGGCAATATTGTAGGAAGAGATAAGAGACAGTGGGGAAGAAGTACCCAGAGTAAAAGTGTACAACTACTCTGGTAAGTAAAAGTTCTGCATTCAGAATGCTATTTAAGTAAAGGGAGGAAAGTATTATTGTGAAAACCTACTTAAAGTACCAAAAGTAAAAGTGCTCATTATTCACACGTTTCACATTAATATATATTATATCATTGGATTACAATTATTGATTCATTATTGTGTACATCACTTGGAGCTAATGTTAACTACTTTATATACTTGTAATTTGAAGTACTTTACATACTTCTAGGTGGCTTGTGAATTTCCTATCGAGGATCAATAAAGTCTTATCGATTATTACCCCCCGCCATGGAGGTTATGTTTTTGGTTTCGTGTGTGTGTGTGTGTTGCTTATGAGGATTACAGACAAAACAGCTGGATTGATCACCAGCATATACATGGTACAGACATTGGTGGGGACCAGCCCTAGAAGTGAGCAGGTTTTGGCTGAAAAACATCAAGGTCAAAGTCACAAAAAATAACGAAACAAATTACCATCATTAACATGGGCCAGAATAATAATAAATTTAATATCTCTGTTAAACGATATCAAAATCATTTTTTGTTTGAAATTTGACACATATGTAGGGTGGCAATGTCTATCACCAGATCACATTTAATCGGGATCAGACCCGGATCCTGGATCTGACAGCCATTTAAAGTTAACATTAAAAAAAACCCATTGAATGCATTTTTTCTGCCATAACTTGGCCTGTAATGAAGATAGAACTCTGAACTGTTCCGGTAAGATGCACAGTACCCTACATACCCTAAAGATGATTCAGAGCTGATCCTGATCAAGAGGTTTAGGATACATTTTGTGTTTCTGGATCTCATTTTTCACAAGGGACCCATTTGCTGAGCGAATGTTGTGCCTTAGCAGAGGTACATGCGCTCTCTGAGTGCTCTTGTATTGTGTTTTATGTCATTAATCTATTTCTGAAAAGTAACTGAACTTATCAAATAATGTAGTTCAGTAAAGAAGTATAACATGTGCCTCTAAAAGGTAATGAAGACCAAGTGTGAAGTATTTCTCTGATATTGCTCTGGTCAATAGATTTAATACCTCAACAGACATGCACCTGAAGATGAAGACTGTGTTATATTGAAGCATGGTGTCTCTGTCGCTAGCTTGACAACTTTGTTAGGTGTTAGCTTGTGAGCTAAAATGCTTTGGGTACAGTTACAAGAGTTTACACCATAGATTGTACAGTTTGTATGGCTGTGTGTAGTACGGCAGTGGTGCCCAGACATTCTTGAACATCCATCCTGTCAGATTATTTGAAATTGCCTTTTGGACCCATTATGAGTTTTTTACAGTTGAATTGTCAGTCTTTCAGTCTGTTTAGTCAAGTTTGCATTTGTACTGTACCGCTTGCAGAGGCTAGCCATTTCAACCATCTGATAAGTGATATTTCATCATGGGTTCCCTAAGGCACTACAGCAGGTGAATGCGGTGTATCTACAAAAATTGGTAGAGAACAAACAGCTAAAGGAGATTAAATAAATGGGAATCCAGATGAATGCTGTTGTTGCCCTTTCTCATGCTGGATGTGTAAAAAGCCAGCTGTTTGCTAATATTATTAACATTATTCATAACAATCTTTGTTTACCTCCAAGTGGCCATAAGAATCGGAGGATGCAGGTTTAGTATTTTAGACTATTTCTTCCAGAAAGTTTGCATGCCTTTGATTTTTCTCTTTGTCATTTTACAGGTGGATGAAATTCAAAGTGTTTGGTTACAAGAACTGTATAAGGTAGGTTTGGCCTCCTGGGTCTTGCATTAATAATTCCCACTTTTAAATTGAGATGCATTGATCGATTGGCAGAGATCGGAAATGGCTGGTTTCAGAGTGATCAGCCTTGACCAGGGACCGGCCGATCACAGATTTCCGATTCTGTGCCAATCAGACTTGGAGGCACGGCAGTACACGTCACGCACACAGTGGCATAGACCAAAAGGGTAGCATGTCCATCATGTAGCATCTATCTCACGTGTACCCCAGGTGAGGCTTGTGCGTGTGTCTGTATTGAGTGCGTGTTCACTTGTGGATTGGAAACACCTGGTTACAAAAAGAGCGCAGTGGAACCTACAGAAACACCTTGGAGAAGGGGAAACTATGTCCAAATTTCTCACAAGTAGTACACAATGAAGGAATACTGGCTACACATGAAATGCATGTATAAGTAGAGTGTACCTGATCCGTGGTAAAACGGCAAATATAATCTATACATGCTTCAAAAAATGTTTCTGTAGAAACATTCTTCTGTTTCTATTACCTGTTGAACCTGTTTATACAGTATTTGGAGAAGTACACATATTGCCCTTCATTTTTAGTTGGAGGTTTGTAAAAAATGAGAGAAATGTGGAAAATGTACACTGCTGATAACTGATAACATATCAGGCTCAGCACTGAACTTCATTAGCAGAAAACCTTGACATGACCTCTAATCGATCCTTAACTTCGTCCTGTAACACAAAATGTTGACCTGCTTCACGAAATGCTGTAGACTGAGGCCTGTTTGCTTTGCATTGTTACAGACTATCCATAGATACAAGCCGCAGTTCATCGCCCTGCACTTCCAGGAGGTGGGAGGAAAGGACTATATGCTCAATATGGGCCATGCAGAAAACTTCATCTGGTAGGACTAATGTGCTACTCGTGTAATCCAGGTTTCCCTCTAAAGTTACTAGTTATTCTTTCACCATGCATTTGATTTTATTATTGGCATTTACAAAGAATGTATCGTCTATTTATATATTTCTCACATCAAAGTAGCATGGCAACTAGCTGTTTTGCATTATGGAAAAATCTGTTTCTTCATTAACTAATTCATCATTTGATCAAATCTGTATTTTGCCAGAATGGGGGTGGGCATTACAATTTTCCAAACCCCAAAATAGCTTGTTTTGTCCAAACTGCAGTTCAAAACATAGAGATTGTCTGTTTACAGTCAGAGAAGATTATGAAAACCAGAAAATGTTCACATTTGAGAAGTTAGAACTGCTGAAGTTTGGCAATTGTGCTTAAAAAATATTTAAAAACTATCAATCAGTTATATTTTCTGTCCATGAACTTATAAATTAATTGTGCAGTCTCTGCACTCTGTTTTGAAAAAAAAACAAAAAAAAACAAGCTTTTTTGTTCTGCTGTCTCATGATTCAGCTGCTGTGGTCCTTTATTTCCAGGAGCATTAAGTCCAGTGAGGAAATGAGAGACTATGACAGGGTGTGCATCTATGTTGACAGCCAGTTCCAAGCAGAAGACAGCTTCACGGTAAGAGGCACAAAAACTTTCTTAGTCACAGTAATTCACACATGCGTCCACTAGATGGCGTCGTCCTCCATGTTAGTGCTCTGAGGTGGCCTGTGTACTTTGCTGTTGAATGAAGAGCAGTAGTTTGTAGCTGGTAATGAGTTTAATATAAGCCAGAGTTTGTAGTCCTCAGTGGAGCATCAGAAAATGAAAATATTCTCTTCTCACAGCCAACAGTGGAACACAGGTTTTAGAATAGAAAGCAGCCAGCATTTTACGTCATGTCAAAGATTATTAAAGTCTAACATTTTTGTGCATTTAATCAATTTAAAGGTATGGTATCAATATGAGAACAGAACTGACAACATGTGACTGCTACAAAGAGGCTGATTAAGATGGATTAGGTTTGTACATACTGTATTTTTGTTTGCAAAATAAGATATAAAAGCAGAATGACTTTTGAATCGAGTGCTTATTAGAATAAACACAGCGATTCTCATGGGATGGTTTGGTTCAATTCCTGATGAAGATCAAGAAACTGGGAATTAGAGAAAAAAACTGAAACGTTAAACCATTAGAACAAACTTTAACAGGTGTGGAGAATTGTTTTCCTTATAATCAGATTTTTTTTTCTCTATATGTGTGTATGATTATGTTTATGGGTAGAGTTTCCTACATCAAGGTTCTCTGCACGATCTTAGAAGTGTGCAAAACCACAGCCTTATACACTGTACATAAGACATAGATCTCAAAGATATAGTATGAAGTAATGTTGTACTGTAGTAGTTACACAGTATAGGCTCTGACAGAGGAGATTAAAGTCAGGTTAGGTGAGTCAGTCATGCCACTACCTACTTTTCTTATTGCCATCTATTGTTGAACTGAGAGTCTGAGGTAGTGCACTTCATACTACTGAAGTAGCATTACAGAGCTGCTGGAGCAGTGACTTAGCCTCAGTCTGCACATGTGCTGTTTAGTGACCTCACACAGCAAGTTTTCAGTCTATTTCTTGGAACTGAATTGTGAATATAATTGCTCATAACAAGTTTGTCTGCATTACTTTCTCTGACAATTCTACCCTGGCCGGGAATAGCATCTCCACAGCTGAATGAAGTGGCTGAGTATTTCTTAAACTATTAACCCTTACTCCTCCCAGGTGATACCCTCACACTGGACATCTGACAGTAGGGGTCAATGGCTGCAACTGCAGACTGAAGGTGCATCAAGTCAAACAGGGAAAGTCAATGGCCAGGTGTGGGGGAGACAGGCCAAAGTCAATACATTTAACTCTAGATTAAAACTATTGATCCCAGCTTGTTTGTACACAATAAATAAAGTGTGGGGTGGTGTGGCAGACAGCTGGGACTAAGTTTACCCTGCGCTCAAGTGCTCACAGCATCCACTCTTTGGCCTGAGAGGGTTGCAGCCTCCCCACCCCTCCTAATGCCTCACTCTCATTTTGTCAGTGCAACGCGCATTGATTTTCAATTTGTTTCCCCTTGGCTGCGGATCATCAGTTATATGGCCAAGAGAGAGTTTGGGGGGTTCTCCTTTCAGACGGGTTGCAGGAGTAGAAGGGCCAGACTTGCATGCATTTCCAGTACAAATGGTGTTTTGATAAAAAATCACTTGTAAGTCAATATTTTTTTTATTAAACTGTGCACAAAACTGATTGATGAAGATAGGTGTTTGGGAGAGTATGTGGATGGGAGTGTGTGTGTATGTGTGTGTATGTGTGTGTGTGTACTGTTTTTAAACATAGCACTATTACTGATCCAACACACTTGGCCAAATTAAGAAATTTTGAGCTGATTATCAGAAAATAGTCTTTGTAATTCCTACAGTTCTGCCCTACAAATGATTTTAACTTGCTCCATAGAAGCATTCTTCAGTGAGCATTTATTTATTTAAAATGCCCTTTGTAACATGACATGCCCTAAACCCGATCTTGTCCCCTTAGTTTGGATGAGTTGGTCACTAACTGCTGCTCACTGGACCCAACCATGGAGACACTTCCATTATATTAAATGAGGACGACTTTGGCACTGAAGATAAATGATCTCTTTAGGGACAGATCTCTCATGCTTCGGCTGGATGAGGAGGGGGTGTTTGCACAGCGGTCCGTCACGCCCCGAGCCCTCTGAGCACCGGCTGATTTTTCTTCGGCCCTCAGTCACAGCGGCAGAGTTGGCAGACAGCAGGCCTACTGCTTAATACTTTTTAAATTGTTTTAATTTTCTGGCTTTATTGATCTCACAGGGCATGATTAATCAGATCAGTGGAGCAGGCAGTTAGTACATTAAAAATTGTCAGCCCCATGTCAGGGATGATTGGGTGCTGAAGTGTGTGTACGAGGGGCAGGGTGTATGGATGTGTTGCGCAGTTATGTGTTCACTTTCTACATTTGTTTTTTTAAAGTTTCTTGTGTCTTTGGGAGAGAAACAGTATATTGTGTTGTACTTTATTGTTCAATACAAGGCTCACAGTTCAGCTCGCATGAGCATCTCAGTGGTAGAGAGGATTTCCTCAGCTTTTGTCACCATATTTGTTTTAGTTTTGTGGTGGCTCGCTGCTAAAAAAAAAAAAGCCACTCTAAATGGGTTGGGCATAGCTCTGTTGTGTAATTTAAAATATACTTTCAAATAAAAGTATTGAAATATCTTAATACTTTTATGACATATAAAGTTGAGGTGCTGAAAATGGAAATATGTTCAGGCAGACTGTAGTTGTACCAGACTGGAAATGCACAGATGGCATTTCAGATTAGATGTTTGGACTGGTGTCTGTTGTTTTTGCTGGACTAAACAAGCCAAAATTTATCTTTATCTTTGGTCTTCTTCTTGTGCTATTTGTCCTAAAGTAGGGTGTGTGCAAAAACTGTAAAAGTAGTATTCTATTTTAGTATGACTTTCCTTGCTCTATTGGATTGAAACCATGGAAGTAATACAGGAGCTAGATGATGCTAGATTCAAAGATGGTGGCCAGCCACTTGAATGAAAATTGCTCACCTGGTAAATGAGGCAGAAAAGTTTTTTAGATTTCAGGTTTGCTTCGGCTTTGTGCAGATCACTGTACGCGCACATTAGTGCTGCACCCACTAACCCCACCACGCTGGTAGTCTCTATAGGAAATGCTCCTTCGGCCACAGGGGGACTTGTCATCGCAATACTACTAGTGGCCACTGGAAAAAAAAAACGGCTCAACGGCCAAGTGGCAGCACCTCATCCAGCTCTCATATAATGCATCCATAAAGCTGAAGCAACAGAAACTGATCTTGAATATAACTTATACCCAGAAGCATTTACCTGCTACTGTAAAATTTCTCTCATTAACCCTCTCAAACTTTTTCTCCACAGGCTTTGGGGAGCATGTACTTCATCCACAAAACACTGAAAAACGTCTACCAGTATGATTTCAATGGTAAAAACATTTCTCATTCCATGTGACATTTACATTGGTTTTTAACATTTTATTATTCATCAGCCTGTGATTGATGTCGGTAGCTTTTTTTCCCTTTGCAAAGACACACTTTAAGAACTCAAGATAAACCACAATAAAGGCTCATAAATTGCTCATACCTTCAGCAGAGTAAGAGGAATGTTGCAAATGACTGGCAAGATCTTTCTCATTTTCAGGGCATTTCTCTTTGTATGACAGTCTAATGGCCACTCCAACTGGCCAGATATTTGCAAGCAACCTGAATTTAAAGTGGAGCTGTTATTTTGCTGCTGCATAGTCTAGTCACGTTAGGGGGGAAAAAGCTCCTCCGAAAAGCTTATGGAAGAACCATAAACATCCTGGAGCTGCCACTCGCTGTGTGGCCCAAACCGATTGTTGTTCACCAAACATAGTCTAATGGTTTATAGATCCTCTCATCATGTATGCTGCTCTGATGAGGTTAACACCAGTTTATTGATTGCTTTTTGCATGTTTTCTCACTCTTTTACATGTCACGCCTCTGTCTGCCTCCCTCTCCCTGTCACAGTTAAGGATTTTAAAGTGGTGTCGGGGCAGAACAAGTACACAGGCTCTCTGGACCAAGTCACCACAGTAGAGAAAGAAAAATTCCCAAAGTATTTCTGGCCTGATGTGAGTATGTATGCATGAGTGTGCATCTGTGTGTAAGGGGTGGGGGGTGGGGGGGGGGGCAAAGTGAGGCAAAGTGGGCCAAAGTGAGATGTTGGGACAAATGAGTCTACTGGGGCTATAGGGGCTGTCTCCCTGCTCTGACAGGGAGATGAGACAAATTATGTGAAAGGATCAATAATTATCAGTTTGGCCCTTCAGAAGACACAGCTTACTGCTGTTCAGTGCCTCACTCTAATTTGTCTCTGTTGCAGTTCAAGTGGTCCAGAAAGGGCTTCACGAGGACCCGTTGGATCATACACAACCAGTATGTACTGTACACTAACCTCACCTTGATAAACCATTCAGGTGTTGGATTCAGCTCTGTTTCACTGTATGTTTGTGGACCTTTGTTTTGTTTTCAAGTAAAAAATTTCAAACATTCCTCTATGGCTGTCCCGAATGCCAATTTTTGGACTTTGGAACCTCGGCTAGAAATAATCAGCGACTACTGGGGGAGAAACGCTTACATAACATAACAGCAGACATTGCGTGTTGTCTGTCCACCGACTGCAGCGAGGTCACAAACCCGATAGCAGCTGCTTTCATTTTGTCCTGTTATCAGGTTAAGTCATGACATCACTGTTAGTTAGTGACAGTTGAATAGTAGGTTACATTACTACTAGCCAGTGGACAACTAGAAGCTGAAGAGCCAGATTGTTTCTCTCAAGAGTTGATGGAGACCACAAGCCGAGATAAAAAGGAGAACAAATACTGGACTTCATCAGGTCGCCAGAAATGGGACTCTAAATTAAATCACTTGTTCCTCCGTAGCTACTTGATGTGTACATAAACAAGAGTTAGCTAAAAGAATAGCTTATTAAGTTTTTAAGATGATAATATGCCAGGGTTGTGCTTATAGCTTGTTTCTGCTGTCCCTAAGCCGCCATGCTAAAATCTTTTGTTCTTCTCATCACTAGAATCATTGTTTTGTCAGGCACACATTTTAACAAAAAACTATGACATTATCCCTTTAGTTTGGCGACTAAAGTATCCAACTAAAAATGCTTAGTTATTTTACACACATGTACACAATGCTAGTGCAGCATGTTGCCCCGGTATCTTGTCAGACCATATGTCAAATGTTACAGGACTATAAACATACTTTTATTGAGTTAGCAAAGAGTACATTTTCATAATGTGTGTTCTGATTCCACGGAATGGAAGTTGAAATAAACACAACTCTGACAGGAACCAGGATAACTCACACAGTGCTGCTTGACAGCCTGTGCTTGCCGAGAACTGTAGTCACTGATTATTCTGCCATCTTGTTACCTGAGGGTAATAATAAAAGGAGCGCACAATCTGTGTGCCACAGCATCACACTGAGTCAACACAGCTCTTTTATTGGATGCACATTAATTGTTTTCCAGTGACAGCCACAGAAAAGGAGTGAATGCTCGACACTTAAGACAAATGTGCTGGATTGTGTACTCAGCATTAACACGAGTGAACCCACCGATAAGAAGGCTTCTCAAAAGTGGCACCTGTGTTGGGACACACACATACACACATGGCAACACATGTGCTCATCTATCAGATGTCTGGTATTGATATTATCAGATTCTTCTCTTTTGTTGTTGTTGTTTTCTTTCTCCAACTGCCGCATTTTTTCCCCCCGTGTGGGTGTATACACATGTGCCAGGTACTGAGACCTATTTATATGCTCACATTGTCGGCCTTCCTCATGGGACCCTGTAAATCATAGAATCTTTGGCTAGCAAAATGGTTAGAGATTATGTTAGGGTGATTTTAGGGTTAGGGTCAGACTCCAGGGAATGAATCTAAATCAGTGCAAAGTGCCAGCAGGGAATGAAAACAAACGTGTGTGTTCTTTGCAGAGGTCTGGACCTGGTCAATGTCCACCTGTTCCACGATGCCTCCAACCTCATTGCCTGCAAATCCAGTCCTTCTGTTTACTCAGCCAACCGTCATAATGCCCTGAGATATGTCATCAACAGGTCCGATTTACAGTTGCACACAACCATGCAACAACATGACAGAAAACACACAAAAATAGTATTTCAGACCTGACTGAATGACTCCTATGAATGGAATATGTTTGTGATACTGTCATACAGTCATTACTATTTTGTAAACATTTCAGGTATTCACATTATTTTGGACCCTTCAGTGAAATGTTAAACTATCTTGAAAATATTACCTTTTTATGTGAATTTGTACACACTCAAAGTAAGTTTGAATAAGAGAAAAAGACCCAGGCATCTGTGTAATTCCTGACAGTTTGATTTCCTTCTAGGATATCAGACAACTGCTACACTCCTCTGCCTTTCTTCCTTTTTGGAGATTTCAACTTCCGTCTGGACACACTTAGTCTGGTCCAGGTATTTAGCTAACGCCCTTTCTGCTGAAGCCCAGGTGATGAGATGTGCATCAGCTGGGCATTTTGACATAGACCCTTTGCTGTGTTTGTTTCTTCAAGCAGCATCTGTGCACTTCAGCAGATATGCAGACAGTGAAGAAGGACAACAGTAATGAGGTGGAGAAAATCATCTGCGAAGAAAAAGACAATGACCACCAGGTGATTAAAGCCGTCAGTTAAGACAGCAGCTGATGTTTTATTTTTAGTGCTGCTTACACTTTACCTGCGTTCACGTCACATGCAGGTGCTGCTTCAAATTGAGGAGAAGCTGTTTGCCTATCTGCACCAGGCAGTTTTCAGGGAGGACAACGGCAGAGCTGTGAGAACACGCTCAATTTTGACTTGCATCAAACCCAGCTACACAAAAACTCACAAACTCCGTGCTGTGACTATAACCTATAAAACAACAGGCTGCTTAGCAGCAATTTTCACTGGTTTTAGATTAGATCCTATCAGTGTAAATAACGTTTTATGAATGACAGTAACTACCAAAGCTCAGAGGTAAACAAAACAGTTTGAGTATACTGGCTTTTCACCTGTTCGAAAGTTGTACACACATCATGCAAATTTCTAATGCGATGACTTTCCTGTAGAACTGATCAATGAATGTGTCTACCCCTCAGCTTCTGAAATATGACAGAGAAGCCACAGCCTTTCATGATGTTGTCAGAGAAGAGGACATCAGGTTTCCACCCAGGTGAGACTTGGAACACTTGCTGCAGACATGCTGTGCATGAACTCCCAGTTTTGTTGTTATCCTTTAAATGTACATTCTCTCGCTGTCAGCTACCCCTACAGTGAGGAGTACACTAAGCCGACCCAGTACATGAACACTCGCTGCCCTTCCTGGTGTGATCGTATCCTCATGTCACACACCGCCCGAGAATTCATCCACACGGTCAGTCGGTGCTTATCACTGTATGTACATCTGAAATTATAACTTCCTGCGTGTGTTAGTCTGTCTTTCACCTAAAATTCAGAATATATTCTCTGGTAAAAGGCATACATAACTTCTTAACATTTGTGGATATTTGGATATTATATTATGATGTATATCGAATAGTGTAAATCTTTACTGTCACATGGCTTTAGAGAGAGTTTATTACAACATCACAACATTAGTGTTATTTTTTTCTTAAATGCTAGCCAAAGATTATATTTGGTTAGTTAGCTAGCAGCCTTTTTGACCCTCTTTGATGCCCTGAATTTTTATATATTTATTTTTTTACATCTTTAACATTACGTGCAGCGTCACATTCAGCTATTGGACATTTGGTACCACAGAATTTGAAATAAGACCGTGGCAAACATAAATAGGCTTCTTACAGTATTTCTAAAAATGATGTCACTAGCAGATTTCTGTTTCTAGTGAGCTAGCTAATTAAGCTCTGGTACAGTAGCTTCATGAGTTGCGTCAAAGCTTTTTTTGTCTCCAGGTGAATTTGTTAATGGTTACATAGATAAGAAGACTGTGTTTTTATGAGACTGAGACTAAAGTTCTGTGTCCCAAAAGTCACAGCCCTCACAGGCTGATGATCTGTGTCGAAGGAAACATTACTGTGCTTGTATTAAAGTGCAGAGCTAAAAGTATGATGAGGCGACCTGTAAAATCAAACTGTTATTTCACTATAAGTGAAAGTTGAACTATATCCAACCTACCGACATGTACTGACTACTCTTAACATTATACTTTTGATTTTATTGTGTAACAAAATTGTGGAAAACTTTTTCACTTGGCTCCGGTTTGAATGCACTGTTTTGGTGTTGGATCCTATTGCTGTGTTATCAAATCCTGACCATGTAGGTGACATAAATTTGCCATATTTAAACTCATAGAACTTAGAGATATAAGCTTAAATATGGAATGTCACATTTTACTTGCTTTTGTATTTGTCCAGATGATGTAGAAATTCTTTCTTTTCAGAGACATGAAGGTGAGAGGAGCATTGTTTACAACACCATTGGTCCTAATGTCTGTATGGGAGACCATAAGGTAACAGTCTAAATAGCATGTACATTGTATAGGCAAACAAATGGCCATGCAGAGTAACTCAGGTGTGTTGTTCTTGTGGTTTTCTTGTAGCCTGTTTTCTTGTTCTTCTCACTAAAGACCAATGACCGTTGACTTGGATCCTCCTCAATGGTAATGTGTATGTGTGTTTGTGTGTGTGTGTGTGTGTGCTGCACAGCACATGGATGTCTGGATGTGTCTATGGGGTTATATCAGAGTGGGGGGAATACTGTAAGTGTGTGAGAGCGATCACATTCGTTTTGCTCTGGTCCCTGGAGAGCCATAATCCAGGCGGGCCCCGTGGAGTCAGGATATGAACTAAGATGAAGTGCCTGTGGTACACAAATGCTCTTTTGTGTCCAGTGTAGTTGGAGCACAGGCGATCAGCACCTTTCACTGATCTATGTCTATTGAATCCTCTCCACTGTCACTGCAGCTACATGCTAAGTGCCCGCTTCTCATTAATTACCCCATGGAATGTTGTCTGGAGAGATATATTGTGCCAGACAGCATATTGGCATTTTTATGGCCATGATTTTGTTTTTCTGCCATTTTAAATTTATTTTCTTAAAGATGGGCTGCATTTTTATAAGGGTCCTTCTCCAGAACCCTGTAAAATGATGAGTAATGCAGTCAAGAGACAAAAGGTGCAACACTCAGCTCACTTCTCCTTTTGTGTTGTTTAGTACATTGGTAACTGGGCATTTCTTAGGCTACATTTTAGCTGAAAGGGAGTTTTACACTGTATTTTCAATGCATGTTTTTAAAGAGCACTTTCTAATGTAAATAACGTTTCACACCTTACATTTAAAATCGGTAGAAAAGTTGCATACACTAACTTTTATCACATGGGACTGGCTAGCCTCATTTCTAAATGGAGGAGTTCTTTAGTGCCATGTAACCTAGTATTTATAGCGGCACATAATAGGTTAGACACTTTTTATCATCCCTGTCAGCAAAATACTGTGACCACACCCACTGTGTCCTGCACCTGCACTGGGTGTGTGTGTGTGTGTGCACGCTCACACATGCACACACCTGATATCACTCATATTGTGGAGGCTGAGTCTCCAGGAAATTAATGCAAGTCAGTGTAAAGTCTCCACAAGGAATGAAAACCAATGTGTGTGTGTCTACTGCAGGTCTATAACCGCACCATTCTTGGAGCTCCGCCACAGTGTCAGTACCAGAGAGCAATCAGCTTGACTGATACCCGCTACAGCCACCCATCAGTGAGCCTACGCTGTGGCATCTGACATCTGCTTTCACTGCCACACACTGTCGACCAGTGTTGAACTCAGCCTGGTTCTTCTCACTCTCAAGTTCCCTTACCTGTATAGTCAGTGTCGCTGAGCACACTCCCAGGATTACTGCTCTGGAGACCGTATAGTGGAAAAGGACCAAAATACTTAAGTACGTGACTTCGGACCAGGCAAAACATGATTTTAGCTGTTTGAGCATATGCCTTTTATTACAGGCAGTGTCAGACAAACACCAGCCAAGGCAACAAAATGTACCCATTCAATATTGTCCCTAAGTCATTTACTAAACCTTTTAAGTCAAGCAGGCCATTTGACTAGCTAGATAGCTTCCACTCAGTAGGATTCACATTATCAGGTGAGCTCAGCTAATCAGAATCCATTTTAGCTAAAGATTTATTATATTATCAGCATTATCATGATGTATTTTAAAATGAGATTTTTAGTATCAAATACAGGACACCAGTCCCACTGGCTACACGTGCATGCTTTTATTTTGTATTTGATGCTGTTTTTAGTTCAGGTATTTATCTGTTTTTAAGTTGTTTACTATCACTAGCAGGATGTTAACACCAGGGAGGAACAGTAGAAGGATGCTGCTACCTCATATTGCTGTTGCCATTTTTGGTTTGATGGCCTACATAGATAAAACACAATTTATACAGCATTTATTCATGCTCACATGTTCACACAGCAACTTTTATGTTTGATGTCTCCTGATGTCATGACGTAATCAATTAGAGAACAGATTTTGGTTCATGTTAATGGTGTTTTTAAAAGTGACTATGTAGAAATGACACTAGACAATCTGCAAAGCGGCCAGTAACATTTTAAAGCAACAGCGAACCAAGTACAGCAGTTTTGTCTGCTTAAGAATGCTGAATTAAATTATATGCTGTAACACAACAGCAGTATTTATCCTGGTGAATTTATTGTGACTTTCTGTTTGTGTACCTGTACATTTATACCAAGTGCATTATTCTACAACCCAGCAGTTCTCAGCTGGTTAGGTTTAGTTGTCCTCACACAGAGATTGTTATCTTTTCATTTCATCTGTGCTGCACAAACATTTGTTCCATCCTGGTGTTGACCTTTTTTCATTGCCAAAAGAGTTATACCTCACTGTAGCCTCACACATTTCCTGCTAATGGTAGGTAAGGCAAATGGAGCACATGGCTTCACTACGACTTCATGGAATCCT